ACATTTCCCATCTGTGCAAAATTTAGTATACTGTGAATGAGAAATGACTGCTGCACTGGTGTAGCTAAAAAAAGGGGGGGGGGGGGAGTTCGACCTTTTGCGGAACTGGAATTTTTCAATTTTGCGTCCTGCGCCCGCTGCGGTGCATAGTTTAAAGGTTACGCTGCGTGGCTGCTGGCCTAAAAAACACGGGCACGACTTGAGCCGTGGTGGTCGAAGTTCGAAAGAGGCGAAATTTTTAAGACCGTGTGTTGTGCATATTCAATCCATGTCAAAGAGCACCACATGAGCTTCGTTTCAGCATACCTCCACTATGGCATCCCTCGTGAGCATATCATGGTTTTGGGACGCAAAACCACAGATATTATTACAAATATATCCTTGCACACGCTATTTCTAAAAGGTCTCTATACTTCATATCGTATGTTGCTCACTGAACGTTTTAAAGTTAAAAATTATGACGTAAAATACTAAAAGTGTAAGGTTAAACTAGCGTTATTACTATTCTGAGACCTTTGGGAGGCATGTGGATAATTGGTAAAAACCCCGTTGATAATATTCTGTCATAATACATTGATAATACTCCGTCATTCTCCAATTAATACGCGTGTCTCCAAGAAAGCCACCTCAGATGGCAAGGAAGAGCTCTCTCCTAATTGAAGCGACTACCATAATTGCTGGTTCCTTGCCGCACTTAGCGTTTAGACAAGCGATTACATTAAGCTTTCATTGCTGAATATTTTAAGCTGGGTCAATGAGCAGAACTACGCAATAAATGAAACGCCTAATTAAACGTTCGCTTCGCTCAATTCTTACCGTGCAGCGAGAGCTTTTTTTAGTTTTGTATGTTCTTTATTATAAGTTATTCATCAGAAGCCGTGTGTACATTTACAGACTGAGAGTAGCGCTTTGCACATGTAAGGAGTGGCTCGACCTTATATACTTAGATTAAATACATGTACGTGCGACGTAATTATACAACCTAGGCGGAGTAATGGCAGAGTTAGGAAACGTTGGCCCTTTATAGCCTCCACTGCCGTGACATGTACGACGGGTGGAGACACATGCGTGGTGTCTGTGCCACATTCGGTTCCTTGCGGCTCTGTGGGAATAGACACGTTAATATCTGAGAGAATAGGCAATCAACGCGATAATGCGTTTTTCTAGCAACTTACTTCGGAGCTTCGAAAAGCTTAGTGCGACTCCGTTGGCTCCACCTGTCGGAAAAGTGACGCGCTGGTTTTCCGAGTGTCTGGACGACCATGCATTTTTTTTTCAGTGCAGTGTGTTGACGAGCAAGTCGGTGCTTGCCAAAGGTGACTTTTGGGGAAAACAAAAACAACACGACAACAGGAAACTGTGTTATGCCCTGTCGTAACTGGTGTAACTGGTGGTGGTGCCCTGGTGTAACCTTCTGCTACGAGAAGTTACCGAAGACTTTTTTTCGTCACTATAGCACTAGATGTCAGGAATGCACATGCGAAAATTCTACAAAATAATAAAATATTTTACACTTTTTGAAATAACCGGATAAACAATAAACGTCGAAGGAGAGAGAGAGAGACACAATAATGATAAGAGGAAGGTAGGGTAAACGTCGAAGGAAGTAGATAGATCACAAAGATTGCTAACAATGAATCTTCTCGGCAACAATCCCTCAAAAAATAACTTTGCAGACTGCCGACATGCGAATCAGTGGTTCACGTGCGTATTCCTGTATGATCCTAATCTGCGGACCCCTGATGTACTTACCTCGTGCTTACTGCAGCTTTTGTCACGTGGTGCTGCACCGTGTCATGAAATTCTTATCGCTGTGACAGCTTTCGTGGAGTAAGTTGGCCCATCAAAAAATATCACCGGAGTCCACATTACGAGACGAAGACTTGCCTTGCTCAGGACAGCCCTGACAGAGAAAACTTCTTGTCGAATTGTCGGCCTCGGTGGCATCCGACGTTTAGCAATTTCTAAGCACTTCAAGCTTCCGTCTTCGCCAGGACTTTTTCCTTGCTGTTAGGGAAGCAGTATCGTGGGCGAAAATAGTATACCGATCCGCCATGGTGCTCTAGTGGGTGTAGTGCTCGACTGCTGAATCGAAGGGCGCGGGATTGACTCCCGGCGGCGGCAGTCACAGTTTCGATAGAGGCAAGAATGTTCAGCGCCTGTGTACTTCTATTTAGGCGTCCTTTAAACAAACCAAGGAAGTCATTCTACTACGGCGTCTCTCATATTCATTTAGAAAGGTAAATCTAAACAATTATTATTCACACGATATAATGCGACATCAAGTTCTTTAGCGCTTTACATCGGCATGACATCACGTTGGTTGTACGTGCGCGAAGATCACACCAGTCAGGACCACGGGCACGGCTTTTGAAACAATGTTTATTTGGCATTGATTGCACGTGTTTTTTGAACATCAATGCGATAAATACATGGTGCTTAAAAAAACAACTGCTTTCAAGGTGAACGTTGGTGCCGTAATGTCAGGAAAGCTTTTTCCAATCTTTAGGAACAACTTTTGGTGCGCTGTCTCGTAGAAATATATTTCTTGACATCAGATATGCAGCAGTGGTACCTCCAGCACAGACACTTTACGAAACACTTGTGTGGTGATACCATTCTAAAGAACGAAAACTTTCTAAAAGTTGTAGCACGTTAAGATTTTTTTGGCATTCCGTGTTCATGTGCCACATAAGGCATAGTTTTATTACATGACCAGGCTGCTTGAAAGTAGTTTTTAGTGAACCAAACAAGGAAGGAAGAAGACGTTGTAGTGCGCAGTGTATGACACGATTGCCGACAACAGAAAGTCGAGGTACATCGCAGTAATGAATTTTCGACAGTAAGTACGAAACAACAAGTGTCAATCTCCTGTGTGAATGTGCGCTTATCAGAGCGCTCAATGTCAGCGCTGATTGGCAGTCAAATTATAATTGAACTCACTTTTGTAGAAACGGTCACTTCAACATTAAAAAAATGTATTCATTGTGGCCTAATTTGAGGAAACCACCAATCTAAACACCAAAAATGAAAACAATTCAGAAAAAACGATGCGGTAATGAACCAAAATCAAGGCACTCGATCTGCTAAGGCATGTTGCCGGGCTAGTTGGGTGGGGTTCCTCCTTTATATGGGTATAGCGCACCACGACAAGGACACAAAGAAGATGTGTGTGTGTGTATGTGTGTGTGTGTGTGTCTTTTTTTGTATGTCTTTGTCGTGGTGCGCCATACCCATATAAATGATGCACTGGATCCGGGAGTTTTCGAACCTCACCATGTCCTACTCTGGCCTTCTGTAGCTGAAACAAACATTTTTGACGTTTGTCAATTTTTAAGCATTGCGGCGACTGCCTATCTTAGAAACAACCTACGAAGCAGACAATGTAAAGGTTCCATCATATAAGTTTCACGTGTCATAATGAAATTTTTGGTGATGTTCGATCGTGCCAAATTTTAAAAAAGCGTGACAAATAACAACACGACCAAACGTTTTAGTTATGAGGGAAAAATCTTAAAAGCTTTAAAGTCAAAGCAGAACGTATTACAAGGTGGTCCCCTTGCTTTATCAGTGAAATACGCCCGCTTTATACGGAGGGTTAGCTTGGCTAACAGCCGTTTAACAATGCCTACCGTATGGAACTGCGTGAACTATCGTTTAAAGCATCGAGTACAAAACAGTGTGGAGGGAAAAAAACACTACTGGTTATATTTTAATCATGCTGCATTAGTTGAATCAAATTCTTTCCCTATTCATCAAGAATAGTACGTATTATATATATATATATATATATATATATATATATATATATATATATATATATATATATATATATATATATATATATATATATATATAACTTACGATTTATGTCAATGATTTACATGAGTTCTTTCTACAGTCATTATTTGTGCGCCTCGTGAATTATGCAATTATTTCAGCTATGATGTATAACGGTACTTGCTTTTTAGCCATAATCAAATTTTTTAAACACTGAACATTATGCTAAAACATCTTGCAAACAATGCACCATAATATGCTCCCACAAAATTCATTTCAATTTTTAATATAAGTACATGTAAATGCAAACTTCAACATAAACAATAATGCCCCAAAAATTTTATGCCGACTAATCACTCCTTCGAGCGCTGAACGGAGATCAATCAACTGTCAACACGTATCCAAGCGTCATACCCTGTTATATTATGTTTAGGGCATGCAATGTAGTCAGGCTACTATTAAGACCCACAGCTTGTGCCTTTTAATATAAGATTTGTGAAACGTGCAGCGTAATTGAAATTTCTGTCGCGTTATGATAAATTAATGCTATGTGTCACTATTTGTCACGCAGTAAAGTGATGAGTGCGTTTCCTGGGAGCAGTAATGCAACTGACATCTCATTATTCACTTATTCTGCCCAGAGAATGTATTTATCACCATTCATAGTTACACTAAGCCATCGATGGTTAGGGCATACATGAAAATCACTAAAAAGGGTAACCCCGCATGACATTAACTGATTTCATCTCCCCATGTTTTCTTTATCTGTAGTTTCCAATATGAAAGTTGTAACATGCAATCGTGTAAATTCAGCAGCTGTGTAATATCATGCGATCTTCAACACAGGCTCATGTGGTTTCTCTAGTATTATTTGAATGTGCTTTGAAGCTTCGAATGGGAATTATGTAGCACATAAACACTACTACTTTATTTTATAAAGTTAAATAGATTACCTTTGCTTGTACCTACGTGCGAATACGTGCTGACAAAAAGTGATACGACGGCATAATCGAATAACATAGCATAGTTCAACGCACATAACAAACGAGAAGTGGGTTGCCACAGCTGTGCTTTGACGGACCCACTGTAACAGTTAAAAACATGTGCGGGTGTTTTAATGTGTTTCTGCTCAACAAACAACATGTATAAAGATAAACTTGTACTGAGACTTCGTTCAATTCGCTCAGTTGCGTGCAGTGGTCAATGAAGCAGTAATAACATTCTGAAGTATACAGCACGCTGTCAAAATTTCTTTTACCTAGATTCCTTGCTTTGTCAATATATTTTTCTTGGTGAAAATTGTTCAATCCGCTGGGCGATGTAGAAAGCTAGCTAGCCGCTTCTTTGGGGTGTAAAGTCTGCAACGAGAACAAACTTTCAATGTTTTCAAAACTGCGACTATCATCACCAAATTATAAGAGCTCGACTGATATATCGGTTGCCATAGATTAAGCTTCTTCTCCGACTTCACGTGGAAGGTGTGAGAACTATTGCCTCTGGGTGACACTCCAAATGCCTAACGGTTTGGCATTAAGTAGAAGTGCTTCCTCAGACATGATGTGTCTTTAGAACACATCTACAGAACATTTGTCAATAATGATATTATCTCTTAGCACATTCTGTCCTCAGTCATATTGTATTTAATGCCTCCTGTAGGAGTTTTCGACACAACAGATCATATTTGGGCAGTTTTAAAAAAAAACAGCAGCCTATAATCAAGTCAGCCAAACAATTGCAAATCCAAAATATTTCAATCCTTGATTGACCTCTTACGGGCGTTCTTAACTTTCTTCTAGTTCTGTCAAATGGAAAATTTTTTCAAGATCACCGCTTGCATGCGCTTGCATTTCCGAAAGTGCGGAAAACATCGTGACAATAAAGACTGACCATGCACATGATATACAGCCTGTCTTTTTGTGTCTCATTTCGACGCTTATTTTCGTAGTAAAGCTTTACCAAGATGAACTCCGCATGATATTAAAGCTAAGTTTCTTAGAGTTGCATCTATGCGCATATTCTACCGGTACGAATGAACGATCTGGACACTGTTCTGTAGATTTTGTGTGGTCTTCAGAAGTTAATAATCTGTAAGACAGTCTACATCACGAGATTACGGTCAACGATATTATTCGGAAAGTTGTAAGCGCACTTCGAGCCTCAAAACGAAGGCCGCCGTAAGATCATCGCACATTCTCGAGTGAAAACTCTAGCAGACTAGAACAAGACATGACACCAGCGCCGACGGACAGCGTTTCGTGTGCAAAGCTGAAACGAAACTTAAACTGCAGTGTGCCTAGTTCTAGAGGATCATTCCACAACACCGAAAACAGCAAAGTGGCGAAGCGACGTCTAGGAAATCAAAGAGCCCAATCAAATGGCCAGGCATCAGTTCGATCACCACGGTAGTACCTCGGCAACATTTGCCGTGACCAGCGTGGTACTTCCTCTACATGACCTTGCTGATGGCGCCGGTGCTCACGCCGGGTCCCGTACCATTCTTGAGGAAAGACGACTTGGACGACGTGGTCGTCACCGTGTGCGTGCTCGAAGACGTGCGGCTCTCGGTCCCCGCCGTGCCTCCTGAGCTTGTGGTCGTAGTCGTCGTGGTCTTCTTGCCGGACGGACCAGGAGCGCTGGCTTCGTGGTCCGTGCCGGTGGTGGCACCGTTGGTAGATCCGTCGACCACTGTGATCGGCACCACACGTTCCTGGCCGTGTGGCTTGTCGCTGCGCTTCGGCGCCTCGATGATGAGAAAACCGTCGGAGGTGATGGAGCACTTGACCGCATCCGGCTGCACGTCTTTGGGAAGGGTGCACTTGCGCGTGAACTCGCGCGAGATGACTCCAAGCTCATCGGTGCGGTCTCCGTGCTTGCCGTGGATCACCACCTGGTTGTCGACCGTCTTGACCTGCGCGATTCACGCCGGGAGCTTGTGAGGCAGTGGTAAAGCAGGATTACGACAACTGAAGCAACAGTAATTGATATATGCGACGTGTCAGTTCGGGAATCTTGTGAAGTGCTAAAGTGGGGCTTGTGTACAGCAAGGTATACAGTCCATTGTGCAACGAACCGTTGTTCAACATGTGCAATCACATCTTTGTCGTCCTTAACTGCTTATCCTTGAAAAGACAATGATCCTCGGGTGTTTATTTACTTGAAAAGGCATTGTTAGAAACTTTATTACTGCTATGGAGCTCGAAATAAACAGATTACCCACACGCAGTATTGGAGTGGACCGGCCGTTCGTGTGGCGAGGCGCGACTGTGGGGACTAACACTGGCCCGGTAATTTGTTGATGCGGTAAATAAATGTTACTCCACAGACGCGAGCTGTGAGGACTAACAGCTAGTTTGCACGTGTAACAGCATTTAAACAAGGACCAACTGTTAGAACCGGTGCCATTAGTTTCTAAGGGTCAGTGGTTGTGGTAGCCGCATTAGTTTTCGAAGGGACGAACCACACAAACTTTTACCTTGAAGTGTAGTACTATGCTGTGTTAGCCTACACTCACATACACTCACGCGCTTGCAGTTTCGCCTGCACCAAGGTTTTCATTTCGTGTAACTGCCGGATTTCGTCTGAATCTACAATCAACAGGCTGTGCTGCTGCAGCCAATTTCCTACCTCTAGGTCATCGCAGTCGAAGTGGCCAACGTCCAGTCGGAGACAGAAGCGTTCGGAGTCGTTCGTGAGAGAGGTCCAGACGGAAGGCTTCAAGGGACTGCCGTCGAAAAGCCTGCGCCGGATGTCGTGGTACCTGTTCTCGTAGCACCGGTACTCGCGGTCCAGCCGCGAGTACTGGTCGTTAAGCCTGCTACGAAGGTCATCCAGCTCATCCGACAGCCGTCTGCTCGTGAAGAGCGAGGACATGGCTCTTCGTTCTTTTCACCTCTTTGCGCTTCAAACCACAAGCTGCAAAGAGAAAAAAAAAACGCATGTTTATTAAGGGAGACACAATAGTGTTCTTATCGACCGCGAAAATTCAACACCGATGACACTAGTGAGGTAAAATGTAGTGACTGAGATAGAGAAGATGACCGTGGACGACGTTGCCGTGCCTTGTTCACCATTTTATTAGACGGCTATGGATAAAGTAGGGCGTTGATGGCTGCAGCGTCAAGAGGAGCCAGAAACGTTGGCTTGTTCTCCTCCCTTCGCTTCTCGATCTCTACGCATGAAATGTGCGCGAGCACCCCCTCTCTCCTCGTCCTGCAGAGACTGACGCTATTCCTGCGAAGGAGATTAACTGACGCGTCATCATTACCACTACTCATCATCGTTTTCACGCTGGAGTACAGAGGAAGTGCCTCTCGCGAATCTCACGCAGAGCTCGATGCGTGAGCGAAAGACAAATAACGCATTCGTGATCCTGGCCAATTTGGATCCTGTAGCCGCCGCCTCGTCACTTCCGCCATCGCCTTCTTAATATTGTGGCGAGTATGACCCAGACCGATGGGCAGCTTTCCCCTCTCTCTCTCTCTCTCTCTCTCTCTCTCTCTCTCTCTCTCTCTCTCTCTCTCTCTCTCTCTACACAAATTATCATCGCCTTATGACGTCTCCGTTGACATCATGGCGTCACAGGTCACCAAATCTTGTTATCGTCACAACGTCACAAAACGATACGTCACGTTGTGTGGTACGTGAAGATGACATGCCATGAAGTCACGTGAAGGCGTTATCACACGGCATTGTTACGTGTCGAAAGTGGACCGATCGCCGAGGCAGTGCGAAACCAGGGGTGCAATCGCGGAACGATTTCATTGCTTTATTTTATGCGGTTCGCCGTCACTAACCGTCTGTGATTCGTCGAATCGCGCACGAGGTGCGCTTCGATCAATTGCCGACTGGGTATTGGTGGCGAAAGCATAAAATAAAGAAATGCAATCGTTCCACAATTGCACCCCTGGTAAGATGCGAAAATCTCGTTATGGCTCCTGTCCCGCAAACACTGCGAGATTACGTGAGGTGCAAAAGCTCTCGTAGGGGAGGTGGGTGAAAAAGTTATTCAGAAAAAAAACATGATGGTTTTCACCTTCTACTTGCTTTAGGCTAATGTATATGAAGCCCTATAAGTTTTTGTTTGTTCGTTGTTTTCCGCAATCCAGGCTTCGTTAACCTGCTGCAAAGCGTTCAGGGGCTCCAGAACAACTCCTCGAGGCACACAAGGTACTGACAAAGCTCGCGATGAATCGCCCCATTGTGAATGGTATCATACCGAGCTGAACGAAGGTCGCAGACACGCAACCAAAAAAAAAACAAAGCTTAAAACACGCCGACACGCGGAAAACGAAAATACACACTCGGGGAGGAAGTGCGAGTCCACACTTTTTTGTTGTTTTTTTGCACGGAATGTAAGAACGGCACGCACAGCGTCGAACAGTGTTGTGCGTTGTACGGCTGGCTGGGTGAACAGCGCGAAAATCGACTCTCTCCAGGGCCAGTAAAACAAACGAGAGGTTGCGAAAGAATGCGTTGTGAGGAGGACAGGCGTCTTTTGGGGAAGTTGGTTGCCAAGTACCCACGTGGTCTCACTTACACGTTCCGGCGTCATGAAATCGACTAGCTTTTGTTCAAAAAGTAATAGCCTAACGTTGAGCAACATTTACGTTTAGTTATAATTGATTTCTGAAGTGGAGTTAGTAACCTAATATTTAGGCTAAGTCACTAACTAACCTACCATAACTTCACGTTTTTAACGAGTTACAAACCATAGTGAAAATTTAGCAACCTAACCGTTAAGCAGGTTACTAACTTAGATGAGAGAGATAGACTATTTATTTCTAAAGTTTTTTTTTAATAATACAAAAAGTTCTTAGTAACCTAACCTTTAAGTTTGGCTTCTTCGAACGGTTAGTAAGCCTACCCATAAATTATGTTACTGTTGCTCTAGCAAGAGCAAGTAAGCTTATTTCAAAGTTAGTAACCTAGTCGTCGCTAGGAAGGTTACTAACTTAGGAAGGTTACTAACAATTTTTTTAACACTAGGCGAGGATGCCAAGCGCGGCTTTCGAATAGGTTAGCGTCATCTTACAAAGCGTAAATGCGTCGTAGAATAACACGAAGTGAAATTTCGGCTTGTGCTGATCTTGCTTCAGGAATATATGTTTTGCTTTAGCCCCTCTACGTGCATTCATGCGTTTGTTATGTGCGCATTGTAGACTTCATTTATTATAGCCTTTTTGAAGCTCGTGACTAGTTATTGTTATTTGCTGTAGTTTATGTTCTGAAACGTCTGTTTTCTTCTCGAAATGGGTAGATAAACTACTTGGCTGTTCAGTAAGCAGTGCGGTCCAATATTGAATGGAGGGTCACAGTATGTTGAAAGCTTCATTTCTTGCTCAAGCGTTACGTAGGCAACAATAGCGTTATATGTGGACACATACAAATGTACACAAGTATCCCAACGTTAACTAATTACCATACACCTTAGCCTCGTTGATCGCCTGGCTTCCTGCTCCATGTGCTCCGAGCCTTATATCTCCAGTTGTATCAAAGATTCGAGAGTAAAAGCCCGTATTTATTGGCTAAAGAACGAAAGAAACGTGAATTGAAGGGCTAGTTTTTATGTTAGACGCATCGTAATAATCAAATGGATAATAATTTCGTCAGGGAATGAAAAGGGTGATTTCTTGCAGTGTCTTAAAAGTAGTGAGTAACTTAAACTAATAAAGTATATGAGGTCGATCCCACAACTTTAACATTACGTGTCCATTGTCACGTTGCCTTAACCGCAATTTTCGATTATCCGAAAGTGGGGATGAGTCCTGTAATGAAACTATAACATCGCGAAAAGCAACAGAATTTTAAGGGCATAAGGACTACGATAGTTAAATCATTGTAGCGAGTTAGAAAGGTTATCTGCACATGAAAATGTGCCTAGTAGCAGTCGGGAATCAGGCCGGAAGCCAACTTTCTGGGCACCCAACCAACTAGTTCGTCTTTTTTTTTTTATGCTTGGCCTAGTTGCTAGTTGTATACAGCAACACGGCTGGAAATGCTTGCAACTAAAAAATAATAATGAACAGCGATCTCGTGTGTGAGTAGAAAGTAAAATTGGCAAATGAGGAAACGATGCGAGCAAAATAATTACGAGACAGCGACTTAATAAAGAAAAGAAAAAATGTATACACGGAACGCACTACGAAGCGTATTCGAGGGGAAATAAAGAAAGAAAGAAAGAAAGAAGAAAAGAAAGAAAGAAAGGAAGAAGGAAAGAAAGAAAGAAGGAAAGAAAGAAAGAAAGAAAGGAAGAAAGAAAGAAAGAAAGAAAGAAAGAAAGAAAGAAAGAAAGGAAGAAAGAAAGAAAGAAAGAAAGAAAGAAAGAAAGAAAGAAAGAAAGAAAGAAAGAAAGAAAGAAAGAAAGATTGTAAAAGAGGCGGCTTAGTAATGTCACGTCGTGCCCGTTTGCACCTGGCGGCGGCCGTAGCGGTGCAACCGGTAGGCGTGACGGTATGCACAAGGGAAGTCCTCCCTGGTAATAGAAAAAAATGGTGTGCAAATAGTAATAACAGCAGTGACGCTATTCCGCTCACCTTACAGGCATAGCGTTCCCAAGCATTAACCAAACCGTCAAGTCTTTCCTGGTATTGCAGGAAACAACGTGCGAATGGTAACGACAGAGGTGACGTCACTGCATGCGTCTCACAGGAACGGCGCCCGAGAGTTAGGAGAACCAGTGACAGAAATAGCCGCACGTGAAGTGTTCTTTTTTTCTTGCATTTTTTATTTTTGCAGCGATTGAGTTCGAAAGCCGCTTGCACCAGTGACTTCCTACCGATGAAAAATTCTTAAAAACGTGTCGTTTGAGCCAACGCATCAGCGAATGTAGCTCCCTCACGTTTGTCAACCGTGACTGGAGGAACTAGACGCTTCCTCTTTAAAGGGAAGAGCCCCCCCAACCCCTCGGTTGTTTTCCTTTCTTTCTTTCTTGTACTGGTTCTTTCCGTTTTACTTTCACTCTCCCAGTTGGACGCTTCAGCCCTCCTTTCTCGAGCCATTACCACCACACTTGATTTCTTATTATCCCTTACTTTGGTTGGGGGAGAGTGTAGATAACGTACACATACACATGCTAAGGAGTCAGTTGCTGTCTTGTAGGAGACAACGTATTGCGGCAAAATACTGGTTTCATGAATACCAGTGTCCAAATATTTTCATCTGTTCATGCTTCTATCTTGCCCTGAACGTTTGCCTTTTCTGGCTTCTGACCAGACATTGTACTCGTGAAAATTTGAAAACATGAAAGCTTGATTATTCATTTCAACACTCGGGATGTTGAGCGCCCTGGTAAAAAAAAAAAAAACATCTAATGGGCATAGCTGGGACCACGGCCTTTACATATGCGTGGCGTAGACAGCTTTGTTATTGTAATTAAAATGTACAAATTGAGCAAGCATTTTAGCGACAGTTTATGCAACTGAAAAGAATCAGGAAGATTGAAAACAATAAATTCAAAAGGTGAAGTTCGAAAAAAATGCAAATGACTGTAATTATTTCTTATACATACGAAATCAGCAATAGACAGGCGTGACGCCGCAATAATACGTTATAGGAAACCTACTGTAGGTCATCAGTTTCATATCAAAGTAACATCTTGTAACAACACTCCTTAATTAAGTGGTACTCTTATGGTGTCACGCTTGTTGCCCATGCTCAATTTAATAAATATTTGCACGCGAAATTCAGACATTTGAGACTGATTGCGCTATGGCTTGAAAAATAAAGAACGTTTACTGGGGCTGCATATTCAATTGTAAAAGACATATGCGAAATACAGGAATTCTATAGTCTTCACATCTTCAAAGTGGGCACTTCAACTTTGGGTAATAAGAACACCATCATGAGAACAGAACTCACACTATTGTTTGCGGTGGAATATAAGAGACACAGCATAACAGCGACGCTTTCGATAC